AAAAAAAAGTGGTGGTGTGTGACTGTAGTTCCAGCTACTTGGGATGCTGAGGTGGGAGGATTGCTAGAGCCCAGAAGTCTGAGGCTGCAGGTGAGCTGTGTACTCCAACCTAGGTGACAGGCAAGACCTTGTCTCTAAAAAAATAAAATAATTAGCCAGGCATGGTGGTGTGTCCCAGTTACTTGGGAGACTGCGGAGGGAGGATCACTTGAGCCCAGGGGATCGAGGCTGCAGTGAGACATGATTGCACCATTGCACTCCAGTCCAGATGACAGGGCAGACCCTGTCTCAAAAAAAGAAAGAGACAGAGGAAAGGAAGAAGGAAGGGAAGGGAAGGGAAGGAGGAGAGAAGAGGGAGGGAAGGGAAGGGAAGGGAAGGGAAGGGAAGGGAAGGGAAGGGAAGGGAAGGGAAGGGAAGGGAGGAAGGAAGGGAGGAAGGAAGGGATGGGGGAGGGAGGGAGGAAAGGAAGGGTCTTGGTCTTAGAAAATATCCACTGAGTTCTTTAGGGCTAATGGGGCATAATGTCTCCAACTTAATTTCAAATGGATGGAAATAAATCAATATGTATACATATATAGCTATGTACATATAATTCTGTGTATACATAACTGCATAATAATATATATATAGTATATATGCCATATAAGTAACTATCTTTCTGCATATACATAGATATATACACACATATCCACATGCAATTTATACACAAATACATAGACACACATAAGTGTGTATACGCACACAGTGAATGATGGAGTGAGAGCAAGAGAGAACAATAAAAGAAAAAATAGGGTAAGTGTAAACAGCCGGCATATTTGAGTATAAAGTGTATGTGAAGTGCCTTGAGCTATTCTCGAAACTTCTCAATAAGTTCGAAATTACATCAAAAACAGTCAGTTAGAAACAGGCAGCCTGGGCCAGGAGTGGTAGCTCTTGCCTGTAATCCCAGCACTTTCTGAGAGGCTGAGGCAGGCAGATCAACTGAGGTCAGAAGTTTGAGACCAGCCTGACCAACACGGTGAAACCCCGTCTCTACTAAAAATACAAAAAATTAGCTGGGCGTGGTGGTGTATACTTGTAATTTGAGCTACTCGGGAGGCTGAGACAGGAGAATTGCTTGAACCCTTGAGGCAGAGATTGAAGTGACTTGAGATCATGTCGCTGCACTCCAGCCTGGGTGACAGAGTCAGACTAAGCCTCAAAAAACAAAACAAAACAAAACAAAACAAAACAGGCAGCTGTAAGATATTTTAACAGTCTTCATCTTCAGATTGGGATTACCAGGGGAACTTTTCCTTTAAAAAAAAGAGGGGGGAAGACATCATTCATAGACCATAAACTTCACCCTCATAAATGGTAAAATTCAGTGATTTTTCAGTATCCTTCTTTCTTTAAACCTTTGTGTGTTTTCTGAAAAATCTTTTTAGCAATGAGCCAGCGTTACTTTTGTAAACAGAAAGTTGTACTATTTTGAAGATGAGAAACAGAACTCTGGAGCCCAGGAGGTCAAGGCTGCAATGAGGCATGATTGCACCACTGCACTCCACCCCAGGTGATACAGCAGACTCCGTCTCAAAAAAAGAGAGAGAGAGGGAAGAAAGAAGGAAGGGAAGGGAAGGGACTGAGGGACTGGCTCAGCACAGTCTTGCAGCTGTCACAATGGCATGAGATCTGGGAGGACAGAGAACCTGCACCTTCCACTGCCCCACCCTCCAGCTGTGCCCGCCCCAGCCCACGCTGTGTGGCAAGACCCCTTGTTGGTGCAGGTGCTAGGGGCTGGCGGCTGCTGGCATTCCCGCCTTCTAGAGTGACTTTCACACTCCCTGATGAGTTTCCCATTCTACTTAGCAGGCCCATAAATTCAAAGTGAGGGCCGCAAACAGGGGACCCTGGGATGGCACGTCTGGCTGAGGGACCTGGGACCCAGCAAGGCCAGACAAGCTGCAGTGACCTCGGTCCCCCAAGAGCTCAGCTGAGGCTGAAAGGGAAGGATGGGGAGGGAAGGACACTTGCAGGATCTGGAAATGAACCAGCCTGAGTGCAAATCCCAGCCCTGACATTCAACAGCCAAGGGCTCAAGTGAAAAGAGAGGCAGAATTCACACATACACACACACACACACACACACACGACACACACACACACAGACACACACAGACACACACACACAGACACACACACACAAGACACACACACACACACACACACACACACGCAAGCAAGCATCCCTCAATAGGAAGTCAGAGTGAATGCTATGTGTGGAACCAATAGAATGTTACCTTGGGCCAAGCGAGGTGGCACATGCCTGTAACCCCAGCATTTTGAGAGGCTAAGAGGGGCAGATCATTTGAAGTGAGGAGTTTGAAACCAGCCTGGCCAACATGGTGAAACCCCTTCTCTACTAAAAATATAAAAATTAGCCAAGCATGGTAGTGGGTGCCTGTAATCACAGCTGCTTGGGAGGCTGAGGCAGGAGAAGCGCTTGAGCCTGGTAGGTGGGGGTTGCAGTGAGCAGAGATCATGCCATTATACTTCAGTCTGGGTGACAGAGTGAGACTCAATCATAAAAAAAAAAAAAAGGAAAAAAATGTCACCTTGAAATCCTAATGACAGCGGAGAAACCTGGCATACGCTACTGTGTCAGGTGATCAAGTTCATCAGCAGTGAGAAATCATGTGGCTATTATGTGCTCTTGATGGAATGTGACAAAAAGGCCCTCACATTTGAGGTCTTTCTCCCTAAAACCCATCACTCCAGTCTGACCATGAGAAACACACTGGACATATCCAATCAAGGGATAACCTACAAAACACCTGACCAGACTTCCTCATGACTGTTCAGAGTGCCAGAAACAAGAACACCTGGGAAACTGTCTCAGCCCAGAGGAACCTGAAAAACAAAATGACTTCTTAGGATTACTGGACAGATGGATGGGTGGACTGATGGATGGATGGACTGATGGGTGGGTGGACAGATTGGTGGGTGGGAAGACAGATGGACAGCTGGACAGATGGATGGGGGGGTTGATGGGTGGGAGGACAGATGGATGGCTGGACAGATGGATTGGTGGGTGGGTAGGTGGGTGGGTGGATAGGCAGATGGCAGGTGGATGGGTGGGTAACTGGGTAGATAGGTTGGTGGGTGGATGGATGGGTAGATGAGTAGATGGGTGGATGGGTGAATGGGTGGATGGATAGGTGGAGGAGTAGGTGGAAGGATGGTTGAGTGGATGCATGGTTGGGTGGATGGCTGGGTCAGATGGGTGAGTGGATGGATGAATAAATGGACGGATGGATGGATGGATGACTAAGTGGGTTGGTGGTTGGGTGGATGGATAGATGGCTGTGTGGCTGGATGTATACATGGATAGATGGATGGATAGATGGATAGATGAATGGATGGGTAGGTGGGTGGATGGATAGATAAATGAATTGCTGGGTAGATGGGTGAGTGGATGGATGAATGGGTAGATGAGTAGATGGGTGGATGGGTGAATGAGTGGATGGATAGGTGGATGGGTGGATGGAAGAATGTATGAATGGATGCACGGTTGGGTGGATGGGT